AACACCCGAGCCGTCTGCTCGATCCAATCCCATGCAATTTGGGGTTCGGCGATGCGATCCCCAAAGAATATCTCCGCACCATTATCCCTTAGTGTTTTGTAGGTTACCACACGAGGTGGTGGTGGTGGAGGTGGTTGAAACATTGGTGCGTTTGCTATCTGTTGTAACACATTAGCCAGAAAAGTTGGAATCACAAGGTTGGGTTGACCACCAGCGTTCGGGTTATTCCCAACATTTTGTTGATTGACAGGTTCATTTTGGACGGGAGGGGTGAAGCTAGATGCTTCAGTATGAACACTAACGTGTTCATTGTTGTTGCCTTGTCCGTGGGCAGATTCTTGACTCATTCTACAATAACAGGAATTCCTTCATTAGGATTTTTTTATTCAGTAATTGAGTTTAAGACAGGAATTGCAAAGGATTACAACAGTCGATACAATCAATGGATTTGAAACGAACAACAAGAAAACTTTTTAAACGTTTGCGTTCGATTGGTGGGATCGTGACGAATCTACAGATGGATCTTCCTTGCCCGACCCACATACGCTATTGGCAGAGTCTATGCTGAACGTCTCTTCTGGGTCATCTCGTTCCCATGCAGCCTTGCGGCGTAGATAAATCCTTCGTTTCATTATTTTTGCGAAGCGATGGGCACGTTGATAACGTACCAGCGAGTCATATACATTTCGTTTGTTCTTTCGTGTTTTACCATGTACGAAAGTGCGACTTGAATCCACACTTGATATTATTTCTGAATTAACAGTTGACATCTATAAAGGTTTAACGCAGTCAAATTCAATACTTAATTTTTATTACCTTCCTGGAGCAGATGGATGCGAGAGTCGTGGATGTGATTTATATTATTATTATTTTTTTTTCTCGAAATATATATATATATATATATATAATTTTTTTTTTTTAAAATCCAAATTTTGATCCGAAGATCGGCTTTAAAACCATTTGCTCTGATACCAAATTGTAACACCTCAATCCGTCCAGGTCTGCAGCCCCTTTCGGACTAAAGTATAAACTTGGTATTTGTAAACATTCAAAAGGTTTCAAGCATTTTTAAAACTTTATTTCATAATAAAGTATTCAGAATAATAACAGAGTAGTTAATGTTGCGGAAGCTGAATAAATAACAATTACAAAACATAATAATATTATGTCTTTTTAAACTTTAATTCATTTTACACATCCATTTTGACCATCTCGCTCCGTCTGCCGCCAGGATTCCATCACATCACTCTTTTTGTTTACCTGCGTGTAGCAAATGAAACATACTACACGCTCAGCGTTGAAGCTGAGTAAGCATATCTAATGCATCGAACATCCATATAAATTGAATCTCAATTCATAATTAACCATTTGATATCATGCACACAATACATATTTCAAGCTTATATTATTCATAATATTCATAATATTTTATTTTAAGTCATTTCATGATATATTCAATATTCAAAATATTTCATCAGTGCTCTTAAATTATTCTTAATCTAAGGCCAAATCATTTTTATACAAGCTCTTAGCTATTCCTAGTCTAAGGCAATATTTCTAACCAGGCCCTTAAACTATAAATAGTTTAATGCAGAACACAAGAATCGATAATCCACCCTATGA